GTTGAAATTCAGTTTGCAAATCACTTGTTGACAAGTTTTCATTTAAAATCAATGATGACAACGACTTTAATTTATAAGACAAGCTATTTGCGTCAATTACTTCATCTGGTTCGTCAATACGGCTCTCAGCTAATAATTTATTTTGAGTTATTTTGATATATGACCCTAACTCATTTATTGTCATAAGGTCTAAAGGTAACCAATCTTTTAATCCATTTTGGGTGATATATAACAACAACTCATGGGACTCGGCTTCTATTAAATAATCGACCAAATTCTTATACGATTGATATTTCCTAAAAAAAGCAAATGTAACCTAATGGAATATGAAATAAACGCATATATATATATATATTTATTAAATTTTTATGTTTGACAAAAATAAGTGTACAAATAAAATCATGTGGATGGCAGTAGCTAGCAAGGCTCGCAAGGAACTTCAGGCAGGGATAGAACTCTGTAAAATTGTGTTATACTTGCCTTTACTGAATTTTCTACATCCGGATCTTCTTCAGCATTCATCTCGAAAAAGTCTCTAGCACTACTTGGGATGACGAAATTATAAATCTTATAAATTATTCTATCGACATTAAAATCTTCTTCCTAATTTTGTGTGAAAAATTTTATTTAAAAAAATACATGAATGCACAAACGAACAAGCAAACATACTACCGATAGCATTGATGTTTTGATTTACAAACCTCTTCTAATTTTAAATTAGAAATTCTAAAAGATGAACATAACTCCAAATCATCGTCATATCTAGGAGTTAAATTATTTTTTATTGAAACAACTTGTTTATTTATCAAGTATGCAATTGGCACTCCATCGATAATTCCTAAATTTAATGGTGAACAATCTATTTTTTCACGAAAAAGAAAATTCATTTCGGTTTAAAAAAGAGGAAGAACTTTTTTTAACGTTATAGTAAGGAAAGAACGATATTTTTATTATTAATGTTAATGGTATTTATAAGAGAATTAATGCCCTTTTGTTATTGATACCATGTTTGTTAATAAAAAACAAGATTTTAGATAAAACAGGTTCGAGTTTGTTGTACAATAACAAAAGTAGTAAGCATAGTGGGCATTTGATTCCGTTGGCTAGTACTAATCTAGACTTTGTAATGATCGTTACCCATTTTTTATTGCGCAAAAACAAGGTGTATTATCACATTTAATGGTTATACAACATATAATAATAATAATAAAAATTTATGTTTCACTAAATTTTTTATTTGTATGACAATGATGTTTTGCAGAATGTTTAGAAGCGCGAGAAAATATATACTATATTAATATATATTATTATTATTATTATTATTATTATAGAAACCGGTTTTTAATTTATTACGAATTAAAAATTCTTGTGAATTTCACGAGGCTCCGAATGAATCAATGAAATTCAAATCACCAAATTTCTGATTCGTTTCGTTCGAATAAGTGCTTTGATTCGAATCAAATCGATCCGAATCTATAAATAGTTTTATTATTTAAAATTAAAATTATTCTTTATTTTGATATATTGGTATCCCATAATTTGTATACACATTATCCTCTCTATTCTTATCTACTTGTAATTGTTTTAGACAATGAATGGGATTGATAAAGACTTGGTTATGCCAATGAGCTGTCTACCTTTTTTTGAGGAGAAGAATTTGGGACTAACTTCAAATAACTATTACTCTTTATTTTATTTATATGTTGAGATAACATTATTTTTACATATTAGCAGTTTCCAAATATATATGCTTTAAACTTCTATATGCATGTGAAATTTCGGTGATGGCATTTGATCAAAAATTTGTTGAGCTATCTCAAAACGAAAACATTTAAAGAATCTTTTATAATTGTGGCATAGCAAACCTTTCATCACATCATTCCTTCAGTATCACAACAAAAAGAATATTAAAATCATTTAAATTTGTCAAAGGCCAGAAATTTTTCTTATAGAATTCTATTTGTGATAATAATGTGCATTTGTAATTCAGCCAATTGATTACAAATAATTCAAATAATAATAACCTTTATTTGAATAGAAGCTTTAAAACAATAAATAACAAGTAACACCAGTGAATAAGTCACTGTCATAAAGCATTCATCTAGTTTTATATATTTATTAATTGTTTGTAAAAAACAAACGAAAAAAAAATAAAATGCATGCGCAAGATTTTTTTATAAAAAAATAATACAAGTATCCATCATTTTTATTTATTATTATTAAATCCCACTATTAACAGTAATAGTAATAGTAATAGCAATAGTAATAGTAATAAGCTTGCGTGAAGAAACCCTGGTGGTGTAGTTGGTCAGCATCACAAGCAACATAACAGCTTCGAAGTGCATTATGTTCCTTTATTGGCATACTAACATTACTATAAGGATTAGTTAACACTGTTTGTGAAAAGACTACCCACAAAACAATATGTTTAATAATATTATAAAAAATGAAGATGAGTGCATGTTTTGTTTTTTGAGTTAATAATTATATTAATTTAAAAATAAATCAATCGAAGTACTTATACAAAAAAATTTAAATAAAATCCCTTTTTTTTTTTCAATAGTTCTTGCAAACAGTCATACATAAAAGGAGTTTTTGTTTGATTATTTATTATTATGTTTTACTTGAATTAGAATTTTTAATATAATAACAAATTTGCGCGATTTCACAATTATGAAAACCACAATTTTTTGTAAATTTAGATTTCTTTCAAGAGTATAAAAGTAGGCGCTGTGATGTCACAATTAGTTAAATTCTGTCAAAAAAACATCTAGAGATTCTAGAATCCCAACGAAATATGATATTAGGTTGTAAAAAAAATTAGCATTTTCTACAAATGGCATATAAACATATACAAACACAAATCACACCACAATTTAATATATACACCACCATTCCACAATTTAATATATACCAATCTATAATTTATACATACCAATTTTCAAAAATACAAATAACCTCTCATTATATTCGCCTTTGTTAACATTTTAGAGAAAAGAGTTAAACTCAAGATTATTTAATGAACTGTCATTACTTGTATAACTTTTTAGATTTAGCAATCTCGCCATCTAATATTCTACTTGTGTGATATGCATTTGGATGTGATTTGTGTGCTTGTTGCGAACTACCACTGCTGCTACCATCATTATTAAAATCAATTTCACGTTTTTGATTCTAGAAAATTTGAATGATCCTTTTACAGCCGTACGAAAGACTTGTTTGTTACACGTCATTCAATTCCCAAATATCGAGAGATTAATATTCAAAAATCAATTTTTGACAGAACTCTAAAGAGTAATATGCATTGATTAAATCCCTAAAAAAAAATAACGTTCCATAATTTTATTCTATGGTGCGGGACCTCTTACTGCGTCTCTCGAAAATTTTTCATATATATATATATAAAAATGCAATAATATTTTTAAATCTGCGACAACATCAATTTGCATATTTAATATATTTAATTAATACCCAAAGACAATTTAATGGAATGAATACATGAGTAAAATAAAAAATATTGACGTGTTAATGACGATTTTTAACTCCGACCAGAATTTTTAAAAAGGATCTGTAAATTGTCATAATTTCCGCCCAAATTTAAGCGGCCAAATTCCTCGCGAACATAGTAAAATATATGTACTAAAAAGGAATAGAACTCAACAACAACCCATTAAAGCTGGGTTCTAATCTATCTCATAACAGAGCTATTTTTTTCAAAATGTTATACAGAAATGAACTTCTATTCTTTTAAAAATCACATACAGAATTGGTGGTTTAAGAGGGCCCACACCATAGAAAAAAAATTTCTTTTCTTGAAATATAAGTCGCAAGTATAAACATTTCCAATATTACCTCGTTATAATATTATAATACACCGGTTCTATGTCCGCAATTCCTATTATTAAAAAAAATAATAATTGTACATTGTTCTTGGAGTCAGTTACATTATTCAATATAATTACCTCCTTTACATTACTACTTTATCACCAACTCATTTTCTTAACCTTGGTGTCAGACCTCTTAATTTCTTTTTTAGAAATGGGTTATCATATTTAATATTAATAAAATCAATAAACTGCATTTGCATGAATCCCATTCCGATATAGAAATTCCTAAAACTCTTTTAGTTATGATAATAGCTGTGGCTGTTACCATTCTTTATTAACTAATCAAATCAATCTTAGCACTGGGAAGGTGAGCTCGGTCTTTGTGAACATATTGTTAAAAGACCTGCCAAATATAATAATCTTATGAAATTATCACTGGACGTGAAAGATAAATGTTTGTATCATAAACTTTATTGTAAATATCACACAAATATTCGGTAACAAGATAATCATTAATTAATAACAGAAATCGGGATGGAGTAAACCTATGTACAGCGTTGAAAGTTTCCATTTGTCAAATGGCTGAATTTATTAAATTGTTAAAGAAGGCGCGGAGTTGGGAACCGAACAATCAATTAACCAGATAAAGTATTTCATTAAATATTAATATTAATATTAGTATTACCGGGTCATGTAAATCTCAATTAAATTAATATTAACTTATTTTTATTCTTTATTTGAATCAACCGCATTGTATCTTCGCCTATTACTATTAATATCAAAAACCAAGATTATCTAAACTTTGTGTGGAAATATTAAAAGATAATTGAATATAAAAAAGCACAATGTACAATTCCTATGATTATGAAATGTATCTTATCAATGCATCAAATTTTGTTTGACATAAAAAAAAAAGATAAAACAATAATTAACTGGTTAATTAACCGGTTAAGGTGACCACAAAGAATCATATGGGCTTTTGGAAACCAGATTATTGTATATAGACATAAATATTACGATAGATTATATTTAGTAATTTCATGTTTTTTAACTTACTTTTTTATCATCTCACATGATCAAGTAACCAGATCATTCTTTTCAATGGACAAATATACTTCATTCCTTCCATTACTATATTTATACTACAGCTGTTGGTCGTCTAACGAAATAATTTCCATAACGAAAGACTTGGAAATGAATTATGTTGATTAATTTCATCAGTGATTAGATGATATTTTATTATATTCAAAAGGTAGTAAGTAAAATACAGAGCTTTCGAAACAAATTTTTTTAAACAATTTTGTTAGAAATGAATAAATAAAAACAAAAAAAGCAAATCTATCAATACAAATTTATTAAAAGTTAAATAATAATTCGGTTGTCTTATGTCTAGAATACTAAAACGAAATTATTGCTATGCAAAAAATATTTATTGTATAATCAAGACCAAATCCAATTAAATATCTGCTTTGCTTAACTTTGATATTTTGAAAGAAAATGAATCTTTTTTCTAAAGCATGTGATTCTTTGGTTGTATGCGATGTTTTGCAAGTAGATAGAAATTTACAGAATGTGATTATATAAAAGTAATGTGCGGATATTATTTTTTGTTGTTGCAAAGAATATTCGAAAATATTTTTTGATGATATTTTTTGTGTATTTTGCATTGATCATTTTTCTTGGATACACCAAAAGTTCCTTTAACGAGAGGATTAAAAGTAAACGAGTGAGAAATATAAGTTCCCGGTGCGGATGAAATTGCTATTTCAATTTTTAAAACTAGTTTTCATAAAATAAACATTCCATCTTAGAAATCTATGTTTATAAAGCGACTATAACCTTCCTATAAGTAACTAATTATATTTACTACTATCAACCCGAGTATTTATTTTTTTTTAAATCAACAAACTGGTAAATAATGTATAATCCTAACGAAAATCAATGATTACATCGAGTAAATTTTTTCTTTATCAGAGCTCCGATTCAAATGCTCCAAATTCATTTATAAGCAATTCATATTCAGTAATCAAAAATTGCTTATTTTCAACAAATTCCTGTTCTTTAACGTGGCGCCGTTTTTTCTTTGTTTCCAATTTCATGTTCAAATCTTTAAATAGGTCAAGTGTTTTATTAAAGTTGTCAATTTTATTGCCTAAATTGCGACTTAAAGCGGCCAACACAGCTAAACTTACTCCACTTAACCCCATCGCAGCCAAACTTGACATAATCTGAAAAAATTATAGTAATGATCATTAATATTTTAATTTTATTTGTAAATAAATATTGTTTACATTAATATGGACAATTACCCGATTTTTTGTAAGATATCCTTTAATGAGGCTTTGATATCCAAAATAACCTAACCCAGCTCCAAGAACGCTAAATTTTAAATTATAATTAGTATATAATCACATGATTATTAAAATTATATATTAATATACTTACAATGTTCCTACACCAATCACGGCCTCATATTTTTTCTTTTTCTCGCATAATTCTTCAATTACTTTTCTACAATGAATAGCTGTCACTTTAACTTCTATGATAAAATCTTCCATTTTTTCATTAAGATCTTTAAAATTTTCCAAATAATCTATATAGTAAATAGTAAATGGACAATCAATTAATTTGTAATATAATAAATTGATTTGTTAATAATAATTATATATCTTTTACCTTCGTATTTAGCACCATCAGCATTTAATGATTTTAACATTTTTTTAATACAATAATCTACCTGATCTAAATGTATTTTTAAATAGCCTTTTTTTTCTGATAGATATTTACTCAATTCATCACACGTTTTAAATTGATTCCAAATATCGTAAATGCTTTTAAATGTGTGATAAAAATTGTATAACGTGACTGCTGTTAGAAAAGTAAAACTATTCACCTAGAAAAACAAGTAAATTGTAAGTAAATAGTAAACAAAACATATATACAACAATATACAGAATATTTATTACTTACAAAATCACAAATTTTGCCACCCAACAATTGCTTTAATTGATCAATAACAATTGTTAAAATTTTTTCTTTAGATCTTGTCAATCCAAGATTATCAATTAATGAATTAATGTTATTGTCATCAACCAAATCAACCAAATACATTACACGCTTCCTGACGAAACTGGCTTGCTCACACCCTTCGTTTATAATATCAGTTATACCTATTTCCATATCTAGACCCCCAAGTGCTTGTTGAAATCCAGCTTGCAAATCACTCGTTGACAAACTTTCATTTGCAATCAACAACGATAATGCTTTTAACTTATAATATAAGTTATTTACATCAACCACTTCATCTAGTTCGTCAACACTGTTATGATTTCCAGATAACAACTTATTTTGAGTTATTTTGATAGATGATCCTAATTCGTTTATTGTCATCACGTCCAATGGTAACCAATCTTTTAATCCGTTTTTGGTGATATAAAACAACCACTCATTGTCGGCCGCTACCAAATAATCAATCAAATTCTTATGCGATTGATGTTTCTTAAAAAAAGAAAATGTGACCTAATGGAAATAATTTATATGTATGAAATGAACGCATAAATGTATATTTATTAAATTTTTATATTCGACAATAATAATTTGCAAATGAAATCGTATTTATAAAATTCTGCGTTAGCCAGTTCGCAAGGAACTTTAGGCAGAGATAGGACTCCATAAAATTGTGTTGCACCATAACCAATTATAGAATATATAAATAATACTTGCCGTTACTGAATTTTCTCTATTTAAATCTCTTTCTACTTTTGTCTCAAAATATTTATTAACATTACTTGGGAGGATGAAATTATAAAGCTTATGACCAAATTCATTAGCATCAAAATCTCCTTCCTAATTTTACGTAAAAATTTTTATTTAAAAAAATTCACGAACAAGCAAACACACTGATAGCATTGATATTTTAATTATTAATGTAAACAAACCTCAAATATTAAATTAGAAATTCTAAAAGATGAATATAATCGCAAATTACCGTCATCTTTTTTAGAAGTTAAGTTATTGTTTATCAAGACAACTTGTTTATCTATAAAATAACAAATTGGCACTCCTTTAAGAGCCCTTATATCCAATGGTATATCCAATGGCATTTCTCCACGCACTCAAGAAAAAATCTACTCGGTTTAAAAAATGTAAATGGGTTTTATAACGTAAGAAAGAATGATGTTGGTTTAATTCGACAAATTTTTATGGACTGAGGCTTTATTTATTTATTTACTATATTCTGTCATTATTGCTTCCATGTTTATCCAAATCTTGTTTTTAACGTTTAATGCTTAACAAAACAGGCAATGTGTAATAATAATAATGAAAAATTCAATGCCCGTAACGGCCGGATGTAACGTCATACATTAGTGATTTTCAACAGATAAAACGGGTTCATGTTGATGGTGTAACAAACTTATGATCTAACTTTTTTTTTAACGAAAATAATGGTAAAGATTGTTATTTGAACGCCCATATTTGTTTACTTATCTAGAATATCTAAGATTATATTCTTTTCGTTATAACATTTAAGGTTTTTGTGCGACAGATTATGACTTCGAAGAACAATTTCAGAGTACTATGACACCAGTTGTAGCCTGTAGAAGTATTTCACAATGCTAATCAATGTTAACACCTCCCTATGGAAAATCTTGTGATTTGAAAATCAATTATATGGAACATGTGCATGGAATTTGAAATCCCGCATTAGTACACATTTAATATTTCGTGTTTTGAAAAATTATATTAATATAATATGGAGTATGTACACGGAATTTGATACTCCATGATTTGAAAAATTATTATTATTGTTATTATTATTATTATGTGATTTGGAATATTAATATGTACGGGATATGTACGGATTTGAAATTCCGTGTTTTGAAAAAATTATTATATGATTTGGAATATTAATATTAATATGTATGGAATTTGAAATCCGTAAATATAAAGAAAGACATCCGCCCACTTTTCAAGCTTACTTACTTTGTATTTCGTGTTTTTCCTCGTCAAATGTATAATTAATCAATTAGAAGTAATCTCAATCATTCAATAAATAGTAATTTTTAATCAATTAATTTGTGAAAAAAAAATATGCATCGAAAAAAAAAATATGCATTGAAAAAAAAATATGCATTGAAAAAAAAAATATGCATTTGAAAAAAATATATTCATTGAAAAAAAAACCAAAACAACTTGCATATTTAAAATTTTCCATTTTTGTTCGATCGTATACGTGTTTCACGTGTGTATGTTTTGATTATGATTTTTGATGTTTTAAAAATTGGGAGTTTTTTTTTGCACGGTTTACATCACCTACAAACATCAATTTTATGGGCTGTTTTTAAAAGGCCTCAGAGGCCTCAGAAAGCATGCATTTTAAAAAAATAAACGTAACTTGATAGATAATAATTAAAAGAATAAAGTCACAGAAAAATTTTTGAAAAGTTATATGAAATTTTCCTGTGAAGCTAAAAAAGTAAAGGTCATTCATTTTATACATATGTAAGCTCGATAAGTTAGCCATGTGAATGTGAGCTCATGTGACCGACTTATCGAATTAAATTCTGGCAAAATCAAGCTAAATCACGTGATAAGTAGTTTTATTAAATATTTATGTCAGATTCATCCATTAATCGAAACAGGCCATATAGGTGAGATTACAGCAAATGAAGCCTGTCTATCTGTTAAATTTACCATGTAGGTACTCATATATTTTCTTATTTCAATAAAGGAACAGATCCGGGATATGCTTAGCATGTAGTGGTAATAATCGGAAGCCAAACGTGGTCAATAGCATCACCAATAGTCCATCGTTATGGACGTCAATAACGATCATTAAAAGCGGGGCTCAAAAATGACGACGAATTGGAAAACTAAACTCCCGCCATTTGATATCGAACGAAAACCCATCCCGCCCTCGACACTGGGCACTCATTTTTTATCACCAAATGCCGGCAAAACCTCGAACAGGGCACCATGCCTGTGAGGTGTAGACTATGAATCGTAATATGATCAAATGTGGTCTAATGACGGAAACTGGCTGTGGACACCAAATAGATATACAATAGTTCACATATTTTCAAACGATGGAAACTGGTCACGATCGTCAAATGGATATACAATAACTCAAATATGATCTAACGACGGAAACTAACAGTGATCGCCAAATAGATATATAGCACCCACATCTGACGACAAAATTGTGAACCCATCGTCACTCAAATGACGACGGAATCGCGAGTTGATCGTCATAACCTATCGCAAGTGGGAATAACCTATCGGAGTGAAATAATATAAATATATTATTTCACTTCGATAGGTTATTCCCACCGGCCACACTCGAGGGTGGTGCGATTCAAAAAATTGGCCACGTTTGGCTTTCCAATTCGGGTGATAAAAAATAGTATTCACGCGTGATACTCAAAGTTGATGGTTCACGGTAATCACGTTTGTTACATCTCGGAGTCCGAAATCGGGTGGTAAAAAATAATGGACAAAGTCTAGAGTCGAAGACTCATATTCATACGTGGTCGGGAATGATGGCGCAAGATGGGATCATAGAAAATACATAGTGATATTTGCCATCAGTAGTTTCCAGTAGTTGTCAGTAGTTAAAAAAAAACGCCACTGATACAAGTTACATGTGATCATACCCGCAATGGGTATATATCTGCGTTTTTTCTTATATGAGTCGAAGACCAATGCCCACATATAATGGCGGAGCTAGTGCCAGAGACACATATTAACGCAGAAGAATACCCTATCCACTTACCCAATGTAATACCTATTTTTATGAAGTCATCTGCCATTTATATATATATATATATTAACGCAGATTACTTCACCTTCATCTACCCGACCTCATACTAGTTGTTGCATATCTATTTGGCATTCGTGACAAAGTTCCATCGTTATGACATATGTGGTTATTATATATCTATTTCACATACCATAAAAATGGGTATATAACTTCATTTTTTTATATATAATATTCCCGAACTTATATACCCTGAACACATACCATAAAAATGGGTAGGAAACTTCGTTTATTATATATAATATTTCTGAAGAAACCTACCCTGAACACCTTGAATATTTGTTTATTAGGATCACATTCTTTAGCACACTCTTGCTAAAACTTGATATATTTTTTTGCTATCATCTATTACCCACCGAAAAAATTAATTTAAACTTTTCGAAATTATATTGAGATATATATAACTTTATTAACTGACAACATGACTACCTCAAATAAATTCGAGCAACACGAAACTGAGGCCCAATTGCTCCGCTACGGGGGAGCCGAAACCGATGATTACTCAAGCGATTCAAATAACTCAGATACATATAGTGATAATTCATCTGATTGCGAGTCCAATGAATACAATGACTATGGTTCTGACTATGAATCCGATTACGAATCAGATATTGGAACTTCACCACTCTCAAAGGTAGAAAAACAAAAGGTTAACGTGACATATTATAAAAGACGGAAAAAGTTTAATAATAAATTTACTGCAAAAGATTTATTAAATAAAATTCGCGAAATTGCTTCATTTCCCGCTAAAGACATGATGAACAATAAAGGCTCGTTGGAAGATATACATTTGTGAGATTATCTCTTACCTAATTCCGGAATGAAAAATGGGATTAGTCTGCTAGATGCATATGAGAGACATGTACTAATCGATAAATTGGTTATCCAAGTGGAACAAGGATAATATAAAAAATTCTCAATTGTAGATGCTATTTCTGAAGTATATGGTTTACCTGGGATTCATGAATGTATTAACGGTCAAATACCCCTAAGGCCAGTAATTGACATCGATGCATCTAGCGAGAATATGGAAACAAACAAAGTCAATTCTAGAGATGTATTTATTCGTATTTGTTTTTCCTTTGTACGAGCACTATACAAAATTCTCGATTGTAGTTGGGAAGAAATTCTCGAAGGATTAGTAATTATGACATTTTCCAATTCTAGCAAATGTAGCTATCATCTTTTATATGCCCCAGCCCTTCTAATTGATTATCGAGAACTCAAAGAATTTACGGAATTGGTATACAAATTAACAGGAGGAAAGTACGGCAAGTTTATTGATCAAGGATTACCTGGGCAAAATTTCAATCTCCGCCTTATTGGTTCTGCAAAAAAAGGTTGCGTGAAGTGCATACTTCAATTCTCACTAGATAATGGATGGGATGAGCTTAATCACACAAGAGTTTAACCACCTACTAATTCAAAACTAGAAATAGGGCCCCGCACACTTAGTGCAGAAAAAACAAATAATTCGAAAAAATAATTGTGGGTCAAGATTCATTACACGAATATGTGAATCTAGTTTTGCAAAAATATTCATATTATCTTGGGGGTTGGACTATCGAAGAAAAGGATTCCCAATGGTTTGTATATTTCAATTGAAAATCATATCTAGAATGTCCATTATGTAAACGCATGCATACTAAAGACCAGAGATGGTATGGTTGTGCAAATAGTAATGAATCATTCCTTGTAAAATGTTTTCAACAAAATAGAGATGTTCCGGGCGAAATTTTCAATAGTCTAACTATTGCGGAAAAAATCCAACAAAAAAATATAAACGATTTTTCTCCATCCAATTCTCATGAACTAAAGGCTCCAAAATTTCTAAAAGCCCTTCTAACAATGCTGGCATGGGCTAAATGCGATTCTCCTCTTACTGCTACTAATGATGTATGACGAAACTTTTGACTTTAGTCATTGACGTGACGAAAGTACTGACTAAAGGTGGTTTCTCACCAAG